TATTGAGGAGGGGCGATGCGTTTGGTTTGCAAAGGTGATTGCAGACTCCACTGACCAGGTATTTTTCAGTCGTGGTGTTATTATCTTACGTCATTTTTCAAAGGGTATTTCTTATCGCAGAACAATATTACTTATTCATTTCAGCCCCAGAGCAAATATTCTATCGGGTCATAGTTCGCTAGTACCCAACGTGACTGCTGTTTACCCCCGAGAAATGACAGTTCATGTCTGACGCTGATAGCAAATAAACGGGTTTATTTTGATTTTAATCGGAAAGCAATTGTTACAACAACGCAGCAAACATCTTGTTGGCTGTCTGCCGTCACCTCATGACGTTAAGTAGCTTTTTCAATTGTGGAAAGCTGGAATTTGAAAGAAACTACAATTCTCCAGAGTAGTAATAGAACCGTCTCCAGACTATTTCGCTACAAGGAGATGAACATCATGTGGAACTGCTAAGGGGCCCTTCTTAGCGACGAGTTTGCCGAAGGAGTTTAGATTTTCAACAAAGATTCTCCAGTTCCTGATTGTAGGCTGACTCGAAATGAATCTCTTTCAGGCTTACCTTCAGAAGTACTGCTCTTCTTTCTCTGCGGAAGCTCGATGTTCTCAAAAGTGCCGCCTCCGCTGATCTCCTTGCGTGGATTCGCATCTTTTGCCGCCACGTAAGCGAATATGTCGACCTGATTCGAGTTTCAACTCACATGGCACTGGTGCAACATCTTCAATATTCGCAGAAAGAACAACCATGATTGCCTGTAATTGAGATGAGAAGGTGAGCGAGAAGGGAAGCAACAAAGGGACACGAACGGAAAAATCGGAGTATACGCTTCAATCATTCATAATCAGCGACGACGAACATAAGCGGTATAGCCGAAATATACATTCCATATCTTGGAACTGAGGGGGCGTGGATGCGCTCTCACCCTAATACATGTTCAGATGAAGTGCGTAGCCACGCCCTCCTAACTACGGATATGAAGTGCAGACCTGTGCAGTAAAGATAATAAACTTCGAAGTTGGCAAAAAGAAAAGTTGGGAGGTGAAACAGAGGCGAAAAAAGGAAGTAGTTTCACCAAGAACGGATCGAAAATGACAGCAAAGGATCCCATGTGACTGAAAAAATCTCGAAAAGCTTGAATGGAAGTAATTCTAGAAGTATCGAGGTTTCAAAGGGTAAATTGTCACGTGATTGTCGTCATCTAATAAAGAAAGCTGATTACCTTTATTCAAAGGTTAACAGTTCCAATTAATACTGAAAAAAGATATTTCCGAAAATTCACGATCCGAGATATATCAGTAACAAAGGCCGGTGATTACAGAAGGGACGTAATGAACACACTAACACTGAGGCGGCATATCCTGACCGGGACTGTAGGGTTATC